ACAGAGTACAGTAGTTGATGTAAAGTAAAACATGACACTTTAATCATGTTACAGCACACAGAGTACAGTAGTTGATGTAAAGTAAAACATGACACTTTAATCATGTTACAGCACACAGAGTACAGTAGTTGATGTAAAGTAAAACATGACACTTACATCAAAGTTACAGCACACAGAGTACAGTAGTTGATGTAAAGTAAAACATGACACTTACATCAAAGTTAATCCCCATGTAGTTTACAGCTATTTCTATTCCCCGTGTCACTGGGTCCACTTTGCCAACACGATCAAATACAATGTTTACTGTGGACTAAAAGAGATAGAAATACCATGTATATTGAAATATCTCAGCCAAATAAATAAATTTCCCATTATCCGTTATTAATGGGTTTAATAACTCACAACTCTATGTTTTCTGAATAAGAAACTTTTTCAGGGTCTACTCAGGAGCTGATAAAGAGAATATGATAAGCTAACCTGCTTACTATTCTGTCACTTCTTTACATACCAATATTGTAAAAGGAATATTTTCAGGATTTTTAATGAAAGAACTAAAATAATGGGAACATTTTTAGAATACAATGAATCATTTCAACGACAGTGTTTTTATATACAATATTCAACTAAACAACAAAATTTTTGATGTTCTAATTTGAATATCTGACATTTTCTAGCTAAAACATTAAAAAAAAAATGGCAGCCACTTCTGAATACGGAAAGATTGGAGGATATCTTCACTTGCTTCAAGTTATTTAAGAGAAGAAAACACGAAAAAAAATAATACAAGATAACAAATTATTTTAGATTAAATGTATTAAAGTATGTTTCAGATTTATTACAATTTCTTTACTGCAAACAAACAAGTACATAGTATAAAACTTACAATAAATATCTTCCAGACACAGTACAAGGAAAAAAAGTAGCCGAGGAAGTTGAAGTATTTTCCTTTTAAAGTTTTCGACCATTCTATTCTCTCCTGGATTATAAAAAATATATCGATATCCCACTCAGTAATTCCACTTTATAAAGTCTTGAAACAAATGATATTTAATCATTATCATCAATAACTTCTGATTGAAGCAAACTACCTACATAGATTAAAACTAAACCCAGTACGTAATGTAGCTAGTTTAACAAATGATATTTAATCATTATCATCAATAACTTCTGATTGAAGCAAAGTACCTACATAGATTAAAACTAAACCCAGTACATAATGTAGCTAGTTTAACAAATGATATTTAATCATTATCATCAATAACTTCTGATTGAAGCAAACTACCTACATAGATTAAAACTAAACCCAGTACGTAATGTAGCTAATTTAACAAATGATATTTAATCATTATCATCAATAGCTTCTGATTGAAGCAAAGTACCTACATAGATTAAAACTAAACCCAGTACGTAATGTAGCTAGTTTAACAAATGATATTTAATCATTATCATCAATAATTCTGATTGAAGCAACCTACCTATATAGATTAAAACTAAACCCAGTACGTAATGTAGCTAGTTTAACAAATGATATTTAATCATTATCATCAATAACTTCTGATTGAAGCAAACTACCTACATAGATTAAAACTAAACCCAGTACGTAATGTAGCTAGTTTAACATACAAGTCTAAAGTGATTATGCAATGTTGTTAAACAAAATTTATAATAATTAAAATATTGTGATTTATCACTTGGGTGCCATTGCCACAAATGGTATTTCTGGCTGTAATTTCAGTAATATTTCGTAAGGATCTGGCCAGTTTAGGAGATTGAGATTAGTCCTAAATCTATATACTAAGCTCACAGTGCAAAATAATCCACCCATGGACAACTTTACCAGGACTGTATCAACAAGTTAGGTACAGACTGTTAACCACCCACGAACAACTTTACCATGACTGTATTAACAAGTTAGGTACAGATTGTTAACCACCCACGGACAACTTTACCATTACTGTATCAACAAGTTAGGTACAGATTGTTAACTACCTGTAGACAACTTTACCATGACTGTATAAACAAGTTAGGTACAGATTGTTAACTACCTGTAGACAACTTTACCATGACTGTATCAACAAGTTAGGTACAGATTGTTAACCACCTATGGACAACTTTACCATGACTGTATCAACAAGTTAGGTACAGACTGTTAACCACCATGGACAACTTTACCATGACTGTATCAACAAGTTAGGTACAGACTGTTAACCACCATG